GTGGACTGATCAGTTATGATTTATTCAGGCTGGAAGTTCATATTGTTTTTGGTCTTCGGCCGCATGACCTCCAACTTCATATGCTTAACTTTCTCAACTTTGCGCTCTAGTTCTCTGTGTAGAATTACCACCATTTTCTTATCGTTAGACAAAGCAGTGTACCGCCCGGGAACCACAACTCCGTCCTCGAGAAACCTTGCTTCTGTCGGTGAAAATTCTAAGCTGCAACCTTCACGAGATAAAAATTTACACAGCAGAAATGATAATTCTATAGGCAAATGTCCAACTAGTTCTTGATCTTGAGAGCTGCTGGTAGACAGGCAGTAATGTCAACTGAAAATTCATCATACACCTTTGCTTCTTCTCTTGTATCATGCTTGCACGCTAGTTTTTTCCCCGACTACTGGCTTCCAGACTTTTTTATAAATGCGATAGACCACTTTCATAAATGGCTGCCGGATTAATATTCTTTTGTGTAAATTTAAATTAGCCCTACTGGCCTCGTTCTCCAGTACAAAATCCAAAAGAATATATTATCTCAAGCGAGGCCAGTAGGGCTAATTTAAATTTAAACAAAAGAATATTTATACGGCAGCCATCTATGACCACGAGCAACAGATTCAAACTCGCCACAGTAGAGCTGGAAAGGGGATATTCCCTGAACTCTTACCATTTTAAATTACAGCTTGGGTAGATCTTACTTCGATCAGCGAGGACCAGCAAATGCAAAATGATCTTTTGTCGCACACCGTGTATTTGTTCGAAGGTGTCAGATATGTTGTCATCAAGAACATACCTTTTGCATCGTAAAAAATAAATGCTACAATAAATGCATTTACTGTCAAGGAACCAAGAACAGAACTCTAAAGAATAAAGCAACAGCTGAGTTATTGAACACACGTGACGAGTTGTGCCGGTATAAGTCGCTCACAGTGATGTGGAGTGTGAGTCAAAATCATCTTCCCATAAAGGTGAGAAGGTGCGTTCGTATTCATTTGATTTCAAGTTAGAAGTCATCCGCTACGCTGAAAAGAACTCGAATCACGCTGCCGCGGAAAAATATAAAATTGATCGAAACAGCATTCGCGACTGGTGGAAAAAGCGAGACAAAATAGAAGAATTAAAGTTTAAGAGGTCTGGTGGTGCTAAACGGCAACGGCTAGATGGAGGTGGAAGACATCTTACCTCTGAAGAAATAGAAGAAAATTTGTTAGAGTGGATATTTGATAGATGCATTAAAGGTCTCCGTGTCTCAAGAAAAATTATCATGCTCAAAGCTGCAAAGTTCCAGGAAGAAAAGGAGAAAGAAGATCTGAACATTACCAAATTGACATTTAGCCAAGGCTGGCTTGAGAAGTTCATGAATAGAAATGGATTGAGTGTGAGGCGTCGCACAACTGAAGCCCAGAAAAGCCCAGATCAACTGATTGACAAGCTCTGTGCGTATATCCTGAAGATAACACGACTCCGTATGAAGAGGAACTATGAGTTAAAAAATATTTTTGCCATGGATGAGACAGCCGTGTGGAATGACATGATATCTAACACAATAGTGTAGAAACGTGGTGCTCACTCAGTAAATCTGAAGTCTACTGGTCATGAGAAGTCCAAAATAACGGTTTGCTTAACTGCAACGGCTGATGGTGGAAAAATAAAAGCCTTTCTTTGTGTTTAAGGGAGCCAAGCGTGACATGAAAAGGCTAAACGAAGAATACAGCATGAAGTGTATTGTAGCTAGCAGTGACAATGGATGGATGGATGGATGGATGAAGCCTTCACTGAACAGTATTGCCTTGAGGTTGTAGGAACGTTTTCTTTTGACACACGTCGCTTGCTAGCCGAGCATGGGACGCATTTAGATGTCACCTAACACCTCGAGTTAATGATATTCTCAACAGAGCTAAAGTTTATTCTGTAATTGTACGTGGTGGCTGCACAAAAGTTTACCCAGGCTCCTGATGTAAGTTGGAATAAGCCCATGAAAGAATATTTAAGAGAGATGTATGACTGTTGGCTGGCGGAAAGCGAACACCAAATGACAGCGCATGGAAATATGAAAGGGCCATCACGGCAGCAAATGATTGCATGGGTATTAGAAGCCTGGAAAAAGTTACCCGCAGAGGTAATTAAGAAGTGATTTAAGGTGTGCGCATTATCGTCTAACCTTGATGGGTTGGAGGACGATCAAATAACGTGTATGAAGCATGGTCCATGCCAAAGTCTGTTACCTAGACTGCAAGCGTTTCACCAAGAGGATGAAGAGACCGATCCTTTCGAGTGCACCGACTGTTCCAGAAGAAGAGATGGTTCAAGAAGACGTCGCACACCTTATTTTGGATGAGGATGATGAGAATGAAATCCTTGACATTGACACTGAATCTTGACCATAAAGTTTGTAACTTTTCAATTTCACTTTCCGCTGTTTTGTTTAGGTTATCAAATTACGAAATACCGTAGAATTATAAATAAATAAATTTCATAAAATTTTAAGGCTGTTTATATAAAATATTTAAATGTAAGAGATAAAAAAAATGTAAATTTAAGAGGAGTTTTCCAGAGATTTTCGTTTGTGAGTTGTGTACAACAAATCAATACAAGTAACGATTCTCATAAAAATTACTGAAGAACATGAGACTGAAAGCACATTTTTGAAGAATAAGAATTTTGTTTTTGTTACTTTTAGGCTCCCACAAGTGAATTAAATACTTTTGACAGTGACTTTTTGCGCAAAGTCTACTCTGTCTCATACCACGGTATTTTTGCTACAGGCGATGCGTTTTGCTAAATTAAAAAAGCCCCCCCTCTCTTTTAAGCCCGCCATCGCTATTAAGTCCCCCCCCTCTCAAAAGTGATTGCCGAAAAAATAAGCCCGGGGGGGGGAGGCTTAAAAGAGGATTTACGGTAAGATGATTTCATGTTGTTGGTTTTTGGGGAAAGCTGGGAAACATACAGTCTTAAAATGCACTTTTCTGCTCATTAAAACTTTCTTCTTTGCTACGTTCTTGTTTCCAGTCAGTACCAAGGGCTTCTTTAAGACTATCTAAAAACAAACACCATTCGATCACCAGCGTTGTCTCTAATTGTACTTGACCTAGACTGTATTTTTACACATTTTGGATCTGGCTTGCACTGGAGAAAAACCACAAAAATTTGAAATTGAGCCAACAAAAATATTTGAACAAAGTACTTATCTTACAAGCATACCAAGAGATTTCCTTGTAATGAAATATTGCTGGATTTCTTGAAGATTAGTCCTGACTTCCGAAAAACAATTCAATCTCTGGATGCTTTCTGTTCCATCCAGGCATACCTCAATGATTTGTAATGGCTGACTTGATAATCCTAGATGTATATAAATGGCATAAAGATTAAAAAAAAAAACAACAACAACAACAACTAAAAACAAACCTATCAATTGCAGGAAACAATCTGCTGAGGCACTGTGAAAGACAGTGTCTTACAATTTCACCAAGTGGCACAACTATTCTGAAAACTATTCCATTAACTGGCATTCTGCCAGCCAAAAATAGGATCACAAATACATGACTAGTGCAAAAGATTCCTCATTGTGTAATTAAGTACTTGACAGGCATGTCAAATTTGCAACATATTTATAAGCTGACTGAAGCTATCATTCTAGATTAGTCACCTACCGTAAATTATATTCCAGAAGTGAGTACAAACAATCATAATATTGCAGTAAATGGTTTGAACCTGAGGGTAACATGTGAAAGTGTCATGTGATCATCTGGGTGAGTGTGGTCCTGAGAAGGACTGTTGTTGATGGTGGTGACTGACGTTTCAACAACCTGTGCAGAAGTCATCATCAGAGTAAAGAGATGAATTCTGCACAGGTTGTCAAAACATCAGTCACGACCACCGACAACAGTCCTTCTCAGGACTACACTCACCCAGACGATCACACTACACTTTCACAATCATAATAGTTATCCTTCTGGAATTCAGGACAAATAAAAGCAGTCTAAATACATATCTATGCTTTCGATTTCTGTGTGACAGTTGATTTGGGCAGTAGAAATCTCAAGCTCATCTCTTACTTGCTAATAAGTCAATGCCCAAAGAAAATTATACCGACTCTATCTTTCTTTGAATGGATAATCTCACCCTGCACAGCATGCTAGTACAGATTATGATAGTCACCTGCAGATTTTGTCTTTGTCAAGATGAAACAAAAGAAGGGAAGTGGAAGTAATTTTCCATCTGACAATTCTGTGTTCAGCATGTGCACCCTGAAGAACCATCCAGATGAAAAATAGACTAGAAGTTGATCCAAAACATCTGTTGTTGCAAATGAAAAACAAATATATCGGCCACCAACTTTCAGAAGGCGTTGTGCTGCTTCAAAATGTTGTGCAAAATCAAATAACTCAAAAGAGGATTGTTTTTCGTGTATCATGTCCAGTTCACCCCTGTCTATTAGTACATTGAAACCATCAGCCTCAGCATCAATCTGGAAAAATTAAAACAAATAAGCTCTAAAAGGTGCTTTCCAATAGCAGTACAGACCAAGTTACAGAAAAAAAATCTAAAAAAGTTAAGTGGAAATTTATCAGTAAATATTAAAGTCACCAGCTCTGAAGAAATAGAATCTATTAGCCAGGGTACTGAAGCTTTTTCAAAATGATTTTCCTTTTCACCATGATGTTTGTGATTTCAAATATTACTAATATAAAATAATTTTATTATTTACCTCTAATTTGACCTTAAAACTAACTAAGGATGATGAATGTGATTTCCATCACATTTTTGTGACTAGGTAAATGTTTTAATTACTTTATCTCTCATCTGATTGCTGTACATAAAATCACGAGGTAACAACAACTTTCTTTCAAACTGAGATAGGAGTGTTCAGCGAATAGATTTAAATATTCTTATTACCTATTTACTAGATAATGTGTAGGAGTGATAAGGAGAAGTTACATTTGGATCATTTGTATAAATGAGGCAACTCTTACTTTAAAGCCCTTTGCCGCAATGAATTGAATTTCAGGCCTATTCTCTTTGTTCCTTTCTTTTGAGGTAGAAATGATTTTTTCAGAGCTGTCTACTCCTACGACAGAATGGAAGCCTGCATCGTACAAATCTTCGATAAAGAGAGATTTTCCACCGCTTGTCGGCTGGCATCCAGTTAAGATTCGATCGGTCGCTTTGCAATACTTATGAAGAAAAAATTTCAGTTCTCTATAGTTCCCATAGCAGGAGTCAGACTCAACTTGCTCGCAAAACAGCTTATTATGGCGTTGCTTGAATTCGGCATTGACAGGACAGCGAAATATTAACGACATGCCCTCGGCAGCGCTCTATCCATACTTTGCGAAGGCGTTCGTCGGAACCGTTCGTCGAGAGTCGAACACACAAGTTTATAGTACAGCGGTTAAATTTGAAATAGGTCGTGTAAGCTGTAGCACGTGTTCCCCACGAAAAGTTCAAACCCGAAGTGTGTAAAATGACTAAAATCGTACTGAAAAAAGGATGAAGATATACAAAAACGAATGCAAATGTTTTCAGTATGTTTGAGCTATTTACAAGGTTATCAATGCGCCAATAAACCTAACAGTAACGTTTGAATTTTAGACTGTAACTTCCACTCTTAGGGAAGGTACGTTTTTTATTGGGGGGG